ATATATACTTTAAGGACTGTCCTCAATCTATACATGAATTGAACTTACAAAATTAATACAGATATAAAAGTTATATTTTGGAGACAGTCTCCGAAATATACATTCAATCCAATTATAACGTTAGCTTGGATCGTATACAGACAAATGTTATTTTGGAGACAGTCTCCAAAGGATACATTAAATCCATTCATAGCATTTGTTTGTAATTACTTAAGTGTATACTTCGAGGACTGTCCCCAATCTATACTTGTATATTTTGGAGACAGACTCTGAAATATACATTCAATCCAATCATAGTATTAGCCTGTACTGTATACAGACAAATGTTATTTTGGAGACAGTCTCCAAGGGATACATTAAATCCGTTCATAGCATTTGTTTGTAATTACTTAAGTGTATACTTCGAGGACTGTCCCCAATCTATACTTGTATATTTTGGAGACAGACTCTGAAATATACATTCAATCCAATCATAGTATTAGCCTGTACTGTATACAGACAAATGTTATTTTGGAGACAGTCTCCAAGGGATACATTAAATCCGTTCATAGCATTTGTTGTAATTACTTAAGTGTATACTTCGAGGACTGTCCCCAATCTATACTTGTATATTTTGGAGACAGACTCTGAAATATACATTCAATCCAATCATAGTATTAACTTGTAATTAATAAAATGTATATTTTAGGGACTGTCCCTAATCTATACATGTATATTTTGGGAACTGTCCCCAATCTATACATGTATATTTCGGGGACAGTCTCCAATTATGTATTAAATGTTTATTCTAGCGACAGTCTCCAATGCATACGGATTATTAATGAGTCCGTAAAACATACATTTAATAATTAATTCGTTATAATTATTCATTTAATTGTTTATACTCTAAAATTGACTGTATTCCAGGTTTAGAAGGCTTTTTCCGATATTTTACTGATTTTATCTAGTTGGGTCCCAAAACATACATTGTACATATATATATATATATATATATATAAGATCATAAGCTTTTCATACACACTTATTCCTCTTTTGCATGTTTGTAACGCCATTCGGGTAATCTTTACCTAAAAACAGGTTTTTGCTTTAACAACACGAGCGACAACTTCTATACTTCTTTCTTAGGACCTTCGGAATTCGGATCGTTTTGTTCTAATCTGATCTCCGTTTAACGATCGCTGCATGGTGCCAAACCGGTGCCTCATTTCTTCCCCTTCACTCTTCGTCTTCTCTCTTATTTGCCTTCTAGATTCTCCATCTCAACACTAACTGTTCAGACCTTTCTTTCATTACAATCCGAAAAAAAATTCAGTCAATCTGCCAACCATAATTCACTAACGATTAATCACACCGAGAATAGTTTATCGATGTGACCTCATTAGTTATTTCATTTTTTTCTCTTCAATAGTTTCGGTCATTTGGTAAATTTTTATTAAACTTTACGACATATTGAATTGCCTTGAAATAAGTAAGTCTGTAAACACGTGAGCTTATGCCTCCGTGACTTAGTTCGATATCTTTGCTTCTGCTGGCTCTTCCGTGTCACGCGAATTCCCAGGAGTCATTGCATTGATCACATAGTTTTATCGATAACCTAGATAAACATATGATTCTTTTTAGTGAACAATACAAAAAAGATAAAATATGTCTTCTAATTCATTGGCAATCAATAAAAAAATTTATGTAGAATAGTTTATTAAATAGTTTATTAAACAATCAAATTGAAGTCCTGGAGAAAAAATCTAGCTGCCGTTTGCCTCATTAACTAAAGATACGAGGCGACTCTCTCAGCAGATGATAGCAAAGCGCGAAATTGTTGAACAGCGGTTCTCCTTTCTTGTGTGTCACTGCAGGTGAATATACATAACTAACATAAGACTCGTGCGTTTATTGCTGTGTTCTTTTCTCTCTCTTTCTCTCTCTTGAACTCTTTTGGAGTTCTTCTTAGCGTCGAGAATCAGGAGGTTCAACGTACTCGTATAATGACCACAAACGAACGTGAAGCGAAGGAACGACTCTCTCTTCAGTTGCTCGTAGAATCTACCTATCTTACCTTAGAAAGAGCAACTGAGATAAACAATGTGAAGTCACGTAGGGCGGTGTAAAAGGGTGGGAATTGCCGAGTACGATGGACACGACAAGAAGTGGTGAAAAAGGAGCGTCACAAAATCAGCAGCTATTCTCCGAAGAATTAATTCTTGAAAAGTTCAGGAAACTTGATTGAAACTAATCGCTAGATGCTGCGTGAAATACCGCAATAAAGCTCGTGCCAATAACCAGAACCTTCTTTTTAGATTACTTGGATTAATTTTTTTCTTTTTTTTCCTCCTTGTCTACATCATCGATTACTTTGTGTTGATGGTTGACTCGGAATCACCGCCGCTAAGCATCCATTTTTTTTATTTTTTCTTAAACATTTGTCGACGCTTTGAAAGAACGAAAGACGAGGGTATACATACCTAAATGCGGATGTTACGGACTTACTAACGAACTAAGACACACAGGCTCGGTGGCAGTTCATTAATTTTACAGATATAGATACTGGTTGTGATACATTCTCAGGATGACGATTCTTCGGGTGATCTCCAAAGATAGTTCCATCTCTCTTCAGACTTATTTCGTCCTTCAACTATAAAGAAACGAAGTCGTTGTGAGAAAGAGGAATGAGGGTGAATATAGATTCTATGATGAATCATACTAAAATGTATGTATGTATATGTTTCGAAGCACTGTAATGTAGGTTGAGATTTGTTAAGATATGTGCTCATGTACAAAATATATGACTTTTTCCCTTGATTTTTCAACAAATTCTAATCGATTTCAACGCTTTTTGGAAGTAAAATATTCTATAGTAAACATGATACTGCTTGAAACAAATCTTCTCAAAATAATCGTAGGAATACATTGCTTAAATATTTTTGGTACTTTATAAAAGTATATGTTCAAAAAATTGTACAATTTAAAATAATATTGGAAAAGAAATATCTGACAAATCGAAATTTGAAAGGGCCACAATAGCGTCTAAGATACAGTTGTATGTGAAAGTTCAATAAATTTAGAAATAAAACTTTTTCGAAGCAAAAATGCTAGAATTGCATCAACAACTTTAACTAAAATTTCAATTATGCAAATTCCGCAAATTCTGAATTCACTACATTATATTTAAAAATTTTCGACAAATTGTGCAAAAAATACAAAAAGTTCATCGAATAAATTGTTTGTGAACTGTAAATGAAGTAATAATTAACAAAAGAATGGGACTTGGTTAAAAAAATGTTTTACTTCATTGCAAAGTCAATGAATACTATTACTATGTACTTTCAGACGTGTTTGAATATCAACATTCTTAATTATTGTAAATGTATCGAAATTTAATGGTTTTATGTCACTAACTTTCCAATTAGTTATAACATTTTTTATACTTCTGAAATTTTAATCATATTTTTACATAAAACACAATAGTTTGTAAAGTAAGATATGTAAAATCCTATAAGATATTATAACGTTATAACATTGTAAAGAATTTTCAGAGTATAGATCCGCAGTCATGCCTGTATGTTACGTGAGATAGTGTAAAGTCGGTCGAGGATAACGCTGTAGGACAATTGCTGCTCGATTTCTCACTCATGTACTAGATACATAGGCAATATCGTGTATGAAGCACAAAGGAAAAATGACGAGATTTATTGATTACGCAGAAAATCATCAATAACACTTGAATCAACGATCTACGTAATTAAGTGCATAATACTTTATATTTATCATTATAATGATGAAGTGGTGAGTGATGAGTGAAATGATGAGTGGTTATAACCACTTTTAAGTTTTCTAGTAAAAATAAAATGGCAGTTTCGTTTTGACTCAGTGTCTGTCCAGGATTTTTCTTCGATCGAAATATATATTAGTTTAATATATATTTCGAAAATAAAAAAATCAAAATTTTACTGTAAAAATTCTGGTAGATATCCACATGATAGCATATTCTGGTAGGAAAAAGTCATTACAGTCATTCATATGAATCGTTTTGGTAAAGTTGATTAATTAACAACGAATTATTGATTATAATTAATTAGTTGATTAAAATTAATTAACTCTGTCATTGATAATCTAAAAATTCATACAACTGAGTGATCGAGTAATCTAAAATTTTGATTTTCATCACTCATCAAATTGTAATTTTAAAATTTCCATTATCTAATATCAAAATATTCGAAAATTTGGAAAATTCTATTATCTGTTACTATCATGCGGTAATTTAACAATTCTAATTACCGATTTTTAATTATTTTGTAATATGAAATTTGGAATTTCAAAATATATATCATATTACACTCTAAACTTTATAAGTATCTATTTTTCTATTTACCGAACGCTGCATATACATATAGATTACATTCAATTAAGTAATTCAACCCTTGCTGTAGTAATAAAATGAGCAGTGCTAATCATAGAGATGTAAGAATGAAAAATTAATAACTGAATGAATATCGATGTTTTCATTTTATTTTAAATACTAAACTGTTGCTTACTTTTCTTTTTTTTAATTTTCAAGTCTTTTAGCGTATCATGCACCATATTTTTAAATCATCTGAAGAAATTTTCTGTGGAAATTATTAATATTTTTAATTATTAATAACTGAAGAAATGAAATTGACATATTCAAATTACAAACTTTCCATTTTAAAGTACTGCCAAATTAAAACGACGAGTTTTTAGTTATTTTGATTTACTGAAAAATTTTTAAAAGTTCTTTCAATTCTTTTTAAAACCCAAATCTATAATTATAATCCAGTTTTTAGTTTTCAGATGTAAAAAAATTTGAATTTTATTTTGGTTTACTTTTTTTTGTTTTACATCATTACAAGGATATTTTTATTATTAAGATTATTTTTCATCACCTACTCATTGTCCGTTTTATTTTCAATTGATAATATACACATTATTGAACATTAGATAATCAAAATTTCATATTTAATTATTGTCGGCACCGGCACTCATTGTTAAAAACTTGTTTCTTCACAAACAATTTTTTCTTTTCTTTTTTCAACATCTAAAAATAGTTCTGTCCATACTGATCCATCAATCTCAATCTCTAGAAAATATTTCAAAAACAATTTTTCATCATTAAACAAAGCCAAAAATAGGTTAATTTTAAAAAATCATGTAATGAAATAAGAAACAATATACCTTTCTAACAAAAGAGTATTTTTGTTGATCGACTATTATTGGTCTAATCACTTGAGATTACATCAAACATTGCTATTGTAGCATTAAACTCATCAGCAACACACGGAATTGTCAGGGTGCGGGTTAGAGTGTAAGCAAGGGAGAAGGAGTTCCGTGTTCAGCAAGAGAAATAGGCTGAAAAGAAAAGAGAGAAGCATGAAGAGTCGAGATGCCAGAGTTTACCTTCACTGCGACTGAATACCAGTGAGGCCCCGATGGACCACCTACCGTCCCTGATCTGATCTCCACAACGCTCGTTCGTGCGTCCGTCGTTTCATCCGTCCGTCTCTTAGTTGCCGTTCATCCACGATCAGTGCCTGCCCCGACTCTGCTGTTCCCATCAATAACGTTTGTAATATCTAATTAATCACAAATTATCTAGATCTCCGTCTAAACTGAGGAAACCCTCAGGGCAAAACGCCTCAGCACGTTTGCTCTTTGCTAGTGTAATCGCAAAATCGTTGACTCTTATTTGTCAATCGACGGTCGAAGCTTAAAATTGATTGTAGGCCAAGAAATGATACCGGAAGAATCGAAAGTTTAGCCAAAATAAATAAACTCAACTATCGAACAAGATAGCTATGAGTAAATTTAGAACACTGATTTATAAAGAAAACTTTTTTTTATATTTATTTATAATTAGTAACTTTTATGATCATACGAAATTTATACAATTGGGCGCAAGGCAGAATTTAAAGCAATGTTAAATTGTTCTCTTCCTAATAATTAAACAATTAATGTTGCAACAAAATTAAATTGATTAAAAATAATAGAAAACGAATCATCATACGGTAGGGAACATGTCATTAATTGTCTCATTTTTTAAACAATAACTTATACAATTATATGAAAATTATACTTCGTGACTAAAATGTCATTACTTAATTCTTATCGGCTCCTATAGGTGTTCTTTATAAAGAATATCTACTTCTTATTCACGATCGAGAAATCATTATACGTTATGACAAAAATCTTCTTGTGAATGATTTTTAATACTAATATCAATAAGTCAAGACAACCAATTAGTATGCAAATAAGATGACAGCGAATAAGACGATGTCCATGACAACCGATTTCTTGAAAAAGGGTTCGCGACACAAAGATGTGCTCTCAGCATCGAATCATATGTTACATTCAAAAAATCTATTGTTCAAATAAAAAAATTGTCCCGCCATTATTCCTGTTGTGGGTCCAAGAGTAACAAGATAGAAAAATATTCAAAGATAAGTTCTTTATTGTAAATTCGAAAATTCTATCGTCAGCTTTCTTACAATGTTCAGAAAATAAGTGTAAGGTTTAGGGAAAATGCATCCTTTATATACTGTGGTGGTCAGGAAAATGCATAGAGAGGGGGTTAAGGAGCTGGACTGCAAGGGTTTGTTTTCGGATGTGACAGGTAGAATTTCTGTTGCTATCTGAGGATATGTATATATATAAGTAAACGTAGGTGAGTTATCCTACATTCCTGACAACCAATTAGTATCCAGATAAAGTACAGCTACGCAAATATCTATGATAACCGATTTTTTGAGAAAAAAAAACAAAAATTTCGCGATCAATTTTTGATTCAATTGGTTAAGTATTTTCATATTTTTCAATAATATTAGCAGTTAATATTTTTTCTATGTATTATATTGATTACGTTGGTCCAATAAATAAGTGTGATAAGTATTTAATAGAATAAAATCAATTTACATAATTATTGACTGAATCTATTCAAAAATTATGAGCTGAAATTCGGTTTTTTTTCTGCCGCACCCTGTATTATGGCCATTCATATACACATATAAGTTATCTTGTTAATATCTTCATTTATTTTACCAAATAATACCGTATAAAAATTTTACGAGGATTCTTATGCGATAATTATGGATTATCTATCGGATAAGTCTAGACTTAAAAGATTTCGATTACCACGCCCGGATTACAGCACAAAGTAAAAATATCTTTCACAGATAGTATATACAAATATCTTCATGGAATATATAATTTGTAATTATTTAATGAGAAGTCAATTCACATGAGAAAGAGTAAAAGAGACATCGTAATCTATCAGATTACATCTGGCACGACTCGTTCAGACTCGTCCTCGCTTTTATCCTCTATGATAAACAAACGCCGAACGAAGAATTTACATCTGTATAAATGTCTCGTGTCGATTGGGTCATTTATTAACTGAAGAAAGTGTCGCGTGAACAGGTATCTCAATGCCGTTGAATAAATATTCGAACGGTTTTTTTATATTTATATCATTTTTATTCCACTTATGATGACGGTTACAGGAAGGATGAATTTGGCATCTCTATAGTCGGTAGATATAAATGCTATCAAGCTCTACTATCATTGAGGACACCAATTAGTGCTATCATCAGCTCTCACCGCGTACCCTCTCTAAGTTGTGCGCGTGGCTTTTATTCATTTTAGTTGGGATGTCATTGGCCTTCTATTCTATTCGAGTTCCATTTATTTTTTATTTTACCCCCCATTGACTATTATCGTCTTGAATTATATCCAAACCCGAAGACTGACAAAGACGTCAGGGTTTCATTTTTATACCCGCGTCAAAACGATTTCTTTTATTTCCAATCAGCGCTCTTATTATTTTTTTGTCTCCACACACTTCATTCGTCTCTTTATTCGATTGAACAAGCAATTTCAAGGCTTCCAGAAGAGACTTTCTCAGTCAGAAGTTGTCGTATAGTATTGTTCAGCGGCTTTTCATCTTTCGTAATTTATACTAGCCAACAAACAGATGACCTTGTTCTATGTTTCTTCATATCGTCACGAGAATATTCCCAGTTTCTTTAACAGGATCTTCTCGGATTTATTTTCTTTGTCCTAAAGCTTTCGTGTTCTCGCTCCTCTTCCTTCAGATGAAGTAGGAAAAATAACTCGCCATACGGGGATGAGAAGGATAAGAGTCATAGCAGTTTTATCCGCTTGAAATGCTCGCATATGTATATAACCGCTAAAGCTGCTTGACGATAAATCAAAGCCTCTCACGTATGTAGTTATATGCGCACATTATGCCGCGTCATAACGATATTGCTTTATCAACATCACGAAACATTTGAATCTTTACTCCTGGTGCATCTAACTTTTCTCATATACTTTTTTTAGAGTCAGAAGCCTTAATTAATCCTCATGTCTAATTATCAATAAATCAATTTGTCAAAGGTTAATTGATCGTATTAAGTACGCATAATTTTCGTTTGAAAAAATTATCATTGTTTTCAATTGCAACATCTGAGAAGTAAATGTCGTCATAGCTCGAATTTTTATTGTATATCGAAGAGAACAATAAAAGAAGTGTATGTAATCAATATAATGGAGGTATTTAACCTTTTGTGAAAATTATCTTTTTGATATTCATTTCATTTTATGGTAGCGAAATTAAAATAATTAGTTAACCCATTAACGCCGAAGAATCGTGTTTTTTTTTCTCATTTTCAAGCTAGATTCTTATCATCGAAAAAAAATCATTTGCAAATAAAAAATATGTTCCCTTGTACTTTCGAGTGTCCTCTTTCCGAATCCGGAGTCAAAATTAAGTTTTGTCCATTAGAAAAAAAAATATGGCCGTTTTTAAACAAAAAAAACCGAAAAAATCGAAGACATTTTTTTTTCAATATTTTTTTTCTCATTGAAGACGCTCAAGGAGCCCCCCTTTTTCTTCAACCATGAGTGCACAAAATAGTTGTAGTTTAAGAATATATTTTTTTAATTTGTCGACATTGACATTTTCACCCCCAAAATGGCGCTTTTCATCCCTTCAGCAGGAAGACAATTTTCACTCTCGGTGCCCGACAAAAAAATATTCAAATCTTAACGAAAATTGGAATCCCGGGGTTTTCAAGGTCGCTGATTACGATTCCGCCCTCAAAATTCAAAAATTCAAAATGGCGGACCCAAATTCAAAAACTTATTTGAATCGGATGAAATGTGGCACTCGGGGGTTTTCGAGGTCGCTAATTACAAATCTGTCCTCAAAATTCGAAAATTCAAAATGGCAGATCCAATATGGCGGACCCAAATTCAAAAACTTACTTGAATCGGATGAAATGTGGCACTCGGGGGTTTTCGAGGTCCTTGATAACGAATCTGGCATCATCATTTCAAAATTCAAAATGGCGGATGCAATATGGCGGACACCTTCCCATTAACGCCCAGTTATTATCTAACGTTTATTGAAGAATTGACAACTTTATATATTGACAAATTGACAAATTTATAGAAATTCATCACTCCGCATTACTCAACGGATAAACTTATAATTCTTTTTTCTACTCTTAGCATTACCCAGAGAAAACGACATGGACGTAGTAGGAATCCTTTCTCCTTTGGGGTGCTTGATTTGAGTGAGTCCCCTTGCCTCTCACTTTTTGGGGTGCTTGGTTGTAAATGCGCCCTTTGCTTATCCCCGAAGCCTGATTACGTGTTTCGCTTTCATCCAAGCACTACAGAAATAAGCATTACAGTCCTTACAGTACGTATATGTTCTTATTGGACAGATTGAACAACGAGCTTGTTTGCTGTGACGGAAAGTATCGTGTGCTTTGTTCCGTTTTAGTTTTCCCCTCTCTAAGTAATATTTAGCAATCGAAATTGCGAATTGCTTTGAACCAATTTTTTTTGTTTTATCTCCAGTTGCGTTGAAAATCACGACTGAGTTCACAATGGCGGCCTGAATAAATCTAATAAAGACGACCCATGTCCATTTTTTTGAACGGATACTTGGAAGCAAGTTGTTGCAATGTCCACCGTGCACGTCTACTCCGCCCATGAATTTATTGTAGAGATGAAATGCTTGTGGAAACGGAATCTCAATTTTTGAATGTGCACTCGAGCTAAATCTCTTAGACGGTAGTAGAGGAGTTACCCTTGCAGCGGTAGAAGCGATCGAAACTGGTTTCGAGTCTACGATAGTTATGTAGTCTATTCCGCTGTTTTGATCATGCTTTACAACATACGTACCTCGTGGAGACTTTTTGTCGATTACATTTTTTTCTTTGACTCGATTTTCTCTTATAGTTCCTGTACATTGTAAACCTAACTTTTTCAAATGTACTAGGAGATCGAAATTCGTAAAAAAATTATCGCAGTAAAGATGGAACTGAGATATCTTCTTAGGAGGGATAGATTTGAGAAATGGATCCAATAATTCCATCACTACACGAGAACCTAGAGCACATTTACCCGATTTATCTCCAATTGATGAGGTTTTTCCACAATATAAATCGAGATTCAACAGGTATCCATCGGCGGTGCAGAGACCCCAAAATTTTAGTCCGAATCGTATGGGTTTTCCCCGGATAAACTGTTTTAGCGATGTTCTTGCATATGATTTGGCCATCATTTCGTCAACAGATAACGCAGTCTTCCACAAGCCAAACTGACGAATATTTCTCTGAAATAATTGTAGTAATTTACGAACGCGCCATGCCTTATCACTGGGATCATTGTCTTTAGGCATCGAATACTTTAATTCTGATTTGATTTTCTCAAATGTATCGCGTTGCATTGCAGAAGAAACCACCTCACATAATAAGAAGGGATCAGTTGACCAATAGTCTCTTTGAGATTTTCTTTTATTGAACGAGCTTACAATGATGATGCCAATGAAAGTATTCAAATCATCCAACTGCAATTCAAACCCATTCTCTTTACATGAGTCAATAATGTATGTTTTCATTTCCATGCAGAAAAACTTTTCAAACAGTTGTATCGGCTCACTTTTTTAAATACTTTTTTTTACACCGTCAGTTAGTAATAATTTGTCTTCAGTCTCATTCGGGTAGCTCTTTTCACCAACCATCCACTTATATTGGTGATCTCCTTCCAATTTACATTGATTATCTGTGTAATTTTCCGATGCTTGTTTATAAGCGATACTCGAAAGGTGATCGTTTGATTCAAAATCAGAATCGGAATCACTAGAACAACCAGAATTGTCTGGATTCGGAATCGCGACGAGCTCGTCACAATTATCGTCAGAAGTATCTATTTCAAACTCTACATGAGAAGGAATAGATTGCCTTGGTCGTTTTCGAGACATAATGGTAATATTGTCAATATGCTCACGCTGCCGATGAGATAAGAATTATCGAAGAAGTGAATTCACTCAGGAGCAATAAAGATGAGAAAACAATATTTTATGAATAAATTTTGTTGAGGTACTGAGCTGAAATTTAGGTATATAAGTGAGTTCGATTTAGTCTCAAGACAAGTTCTACGAAAATAGAAACCAAATTACTCAGATGAGGAATATTGGCAGACCTAAAATGAACACAAAAATTCTGAGCTAATATTTTTTACAGAAAATAAAATATCATTAGCAATGTGAACGATCCACACTCCACAAACGTGAAAAATTAAAAAAGATGTGATAGGCATATACAAAACTTATTTGCAGACAGAAATATTTATGGATAATAAATATATTTGTATCAGGGATAATATTCAATGATGACCCGTATAAACAAAAACAAGATGAAATGTAAAAAAATCGGAGATTTCTCAGCCTCTGCAACGTCAATTTCATTCGACACATGAAAAATATAATATATGATCATAAAATGTGAATCAATTGAATGATTATTATTTACATTTATATGAAGTTGTCAATTCTTCAATAAACGTTAGATAATAACTGGGCGTTAATGGGAAGGTGTCCGCCATATTGCATCCGCCATTTTGAATTTTGAAATGATGATGCCAGATTCGTTATCAAGGACCTCGAAAACCCCCGAGTGCCACATTTCATCCGATTCAAGTAAGTTTTTGAATTTGGGTCCGCCATATTGGATCTGCCATTTTGAATTTTCGAATTTTGAGGACAGATTTGTAATTAGCGACCTCGAAAACCCCTCGAGTGCCACATTTCATCCGATTCAAATAAGTTTTTGAATTTGGGTCCGCCATTTTGAATTTTTGAATTTTGAGGGCGGAATCGTAATCAGCGACCTTGAAAACCCCGGGATTCCAATTTTCGTTAAGATTTGAATATTTTTTTGTCGGGCACCGAGAGTGAAAATTGTCTTCCTGCTGAAGGGATGAAAAGCGCCATTTTGGGGGTGAAAATGTCAATGTCGACAAATTAAAAAAATATATTCTTAAACTACAACTATTTTGTGCACTCATGGTTGAAGAAAAAGGGGGGCTCCTTGAGCGTCTTCAATGAGAAAAAAAATATTGAAAAAAAAATGTCTTCGATTTTTTCGGTTTTTTTTGTTTAAAAACGGCCATATTTTTTTTTCTAATGGACAAAACTTAATTTTGACTCCGGATTCGGAAAGAGGACACTCGAAAGTACAAGGGAACATATTTTTTATTTGCAAATGATTTTTTTTCGATGATAAGAATCTAGCTTGAAAATGAGAAAAAAAAACACGATTCTTCGGCGTTAATGGGTTAATATATATTTGCAACAAGTTTTTATAAACTCGTAATCGTAAATACTAATACATAAGTTTTATAACAAGTACATAGATTTGACAATAAGTAACAAACTTTCCAATTAAAAAAACTTTTGAAAATGTTCATGATTTTATTAAAAATTAATTAACTCAGCTACAGCTTTTAGTTACGACTGGAAACGGAATTTTAAACATTACAATTGAATGGAAATTCATAGTAACTGAAAAGTTGATTCACGTGATTATATTCGGATCCTATTTCATCAATCCGGTAAGAATTATCTTGACAAATTCACCACATATAATTATAATATTGCAATTCAGAGACATTTTTAAAGGAGAAAATATGATAAATTATTTGGTTTTTGAGAAAAATTTTCAAATATAAAGTTTAAAACGTAATTTTTTATGTTGAGACGTAATTGTGAAAAATACTATTATTTGAAAGTTCTGAAAAATTGAAGTGAATACTTTATTTTTGTTTTTCACTGTAATTCATACGAATGCATGTTTGATAGATTTTTTTCACTCGTGTGTAAAACAAAAATATCCCAATTTTTTTTCTGTATACGGGATTTATTGTGTTTTAAGTATTTGTCTGTGGCATTTGGTGATGAGACCGCGAGACAGACACCGTATTTTTTCTGAAATGACGGTCAATTTCAATAGACAGACGACTTGAGCAGAAAACCATGTCAGAATAAAAAAACAATGGTTAATCGAATGAATGACACGCCCGTGGTGGGCATCTACCAGCTAACAATTGAGGGTCAGGCGTAGCAAATATCCGGAACCAAGAAGTCCAGTTCGCAATTAACGTCCTTTCTTGTTCTCCAATTCTTCTTCTGTTTTTTTTCATGACTTCTATAATTCGTCGTTCATTATTTTTGCAAAATTTGACAGTTCCTATGTACTTGTTCCGCACGTTTTTAAATTTTTCTCACTTGATCAAATTAACAAATGTTTTTTTTCTCTTGTTTTTTAAGCAACATCATTGAAATATTATTGATTAATACTTCGTGTGTATCTCTAAGCATCAGAATCTTATTTAACACGGCGATGAGGGTTATAAAATAAAAACAAGGCACATGACTGACCAAGGGAATGATGAAGGCTGAAAAGTCCGACACGTTAATATCCAATTTTACGCGATACCTTTCTACTGAGCATCAATAAAATAATGAATTAACTCAGGGCCTAAAAATAAGTGCAAATTAACGTAACGAATGTCAGTTGTATTATTTTTAAGTTAAATGATTTTTCATTTCAATTCAGCCCACGTCCAAAAATATTTAAGTCGATCAATAATTATGATTATGTTATTATTATTCCGAAATATTACTGCAAACCCCAAGATTTCACAAATGTGTTGAAATAACATGCATGAATTGTGTTTAATGTAAAATATCCATAAATAAACTGTACATGATTTACACGTTTCGTAGTGTGTGAAAAAATTATAGTTTGTTTATGGCATTTAACATTGAAAAGGTTTAGTTACACTTTACTTTATTGCCTCTTGTCAATTACTAGTGTGAATCAAGTGAAAGTTTGTTCAAAAATATCAATTTATTAATATATCATTATTTCTAGATTTCAATCATTCGGAAAAACTATCAATTTTAACTTAAATACTATTGAAAATTAATTTTTTTCTGTTTCCAATAAGATTTGAACCTGCAACCGCTGGACTTAAGGTATCGAATTAGATAGCGTTTTTCTTCGAGACGAAAAGTATTTACGGTCACAAAACGAGTCGAAAAACAACTTCCCATTCTTCATTTATATTAGGGGAATACGGGGCAAGATAGCTTTTTTATATTTTTGGTAACTTAGTGAGGTAAAACGAATCCTCCGTGTAAATGACAACAAAATAAAATTTACTTTTGCTTTGGAAACTTATGCTAATTGATGGTTATACTGAAGTTTAATCCCTAAAAAAATGTCAAATTTTACTATCAGTCAAGACAAAAATAAAGAATAAGATTTTTTGATCTCTCATTGAGTTCTCGAGATATCAATCTCGTGATTCATATTTTCAGTATTAACTTTATATGGGCACAATTTTGAATTCTAGTATTATAGGATGTTTTCCGGTGGCAGCTTTCGGTCTCTCCATTTAATAAAAAAAAATCACCCTGAAAGTACATTGTACTAAGTTACAAAAATTTGGTGAGTCTAAAAAAATCGCAGCGCCACGAAAACCGTAGTCTACCCTACATGACCTCGTATAGATGATTTACCGCATCCTTTTCAGTATAAAATCGAACTCCTAAAAACAACCGGAAACAAGACCGGAAAATTTTTAGTGGTGGTTACAGTTTACCGTGTATAAAATTCATGTAGCCTACAAAGACCGGTAAAGGTTCAAGATGTAAGATGTGCTTGTATATACTAGCGTAATGATGATTTTGCCTGGCGGGACGCGGCGCGTAGTGACCATGTTGGACATGCGGTGAACCACAGAGTAGTACTCGTCCCCTTCTTCCAGTAAAACCCTATTGCGGACGTGCAAAGTTTCCAAGGACATGAATCACCTGATGATGTCTTATAAAGTCTTGTAAAGATCTATGCTTCAAATCAAGACTACCATGTTTTTCGTATATTATTCCTGATTTAATGAAATACAATAATTATTCTGTTATTATAAGATGACAATTATCTAATATCACGTGTCTTTAATTTGTCACTATTATTTATTACATGTTTTTCTTCATTATTTGTTAATCGAATAAATAAGGGTCGATGCGATCTAAATCTTTAGAAAAATGATAAATTATTATCAATGTTGGGACGTAAATTGAATTAGAACATATTTTTTTATCGGAAGAAATCTTTTTTCTTTTCTTGTAAAGTCATGCAGTAACATTAATCTTATAAATCCTAGCAAACTTGTTTTCAATTCCATTGAAAAATTTTCAGTATGATTCTAATTCATATAATAGATTTCAGTTAATTAATTGATTCTACAGAATTAATACTTATTTAATTATATTCATATGTGAATAAATATCAATCTCCAAATCAAAATTAGAACATAAATGATCGACATTTACTTTTTCCATATCTTGATAAACATATTTACATTTCATCACAATAAATCAATATTCAAGATAAATGGCGATAGATATTATTCATGTTCTGTCTATTGAAATTTTATAGTTATTAATTTATCAATGAAGATTGATCATAATTCCCTATTTTCATCATTTCCTGTTCGCTTACTCTGATATCTTGTGGTTATAAAAGCTGCCTACTTATCGGTAGTAAGTAAAGCTCACCACTGTATGTAAGAGACAGTAATTAATAACCAAGTTTGAATTTATCTTTATCAATAGTATTTACATCGCATGCATGTAGCTAGGAACCAACTATTACAATTATAGAAATGGATATTGGCTGAATAGTCTGTTCGTGAGATATCAATAAAATCGTTAGTGAATTTTATAACATCAAGATACATTCAGCGCACATACAATGATGGATTTCGCATTACCGTTGAGGAAATCACATAAAATTAATGATCGGAGGATAAAGAGTCAAGGTTAGGAGGAATATATACCAATGATAATATAGAGGCTTCTTCGTGGGCAACCGAGAGAACAAATCATCCAAGATATTGTGTTCCGTTACGAATGGT